AGTTACGGCGTTATGCATTCAAGGATAAGCTAGTAACTACATTATTTAAAATATCCCTGAAAATCCCAATTTTGCCAGCTCAACCCGAACTTCATCAAAAGAGGCCTCATTCTAGCAGAGCATCGACCAATTATGCCGGTTCAATTTGAATCAATTTTAATAAAATTTTCTTCCATTTCGGCATACATATTTTCAAAATATAGACGGACAGCTCCATTGAACGAATAATAAAAACAGGTTGTCTGTCAGTTTTTGACCTATATCTTCAGGAGCTATCGTTCAACTTCAGCGGTGTTGCACTCTCATTACTAGGGATGAGTGTTTTATTGCTCAGCTACAATAAAGAATCGTCAATACGGAATTATATAGCGGTGAGTGATGGCTAAGAACATCTTATCACTTTACCTACAAGCTTTTCCAGCTAAACCATCTACTCGTCACTATCGCATGGTCGTTTTGCCTGTTTTGGAGCCGATTTTTCACTTCGAATACGGTCTCCAATCTGTTCATCAACGAATGGGGCCGTGGAACTGAAGACATCGAAATCGAAGCCCTCGAGGGTCATTTTTAGATGACAACGGTTCTCACCTGCTTGGGGCCATTCCCCTGATAAGCTCCAAATGGGGCTTCCTAATGCAAAATGATTAATTTCTTGAATACTAGCAGAATTTCTCACCCATACTGTCGTCTTCTTATTACTTGATCCCACGAGGTCGTGGGAAATGCTATCGTTATAACAAACCCCCGGAAGTTTCTATCAAAATGCAGTCCCTATCGCGAAAGCATGAAGCACCGGGCTCGAAATCGGAGAAGGTAAAAGTCTGTATTCAATAGTTTGAGGACAATGAATTCGAAATTTCCTAAGATTCGCAGAATTAACCCAACTTCTTCACCTGTACCCTAACCCGACTCCTCATGAGTAAGTCGTCCCTTTGTCTTGGACACCCTCTCGACGCTGGCCTGACCCTGTTAAGCACCTCATCATTGAAGTTTTATTGTCATTATTTTTTATCGGGTTTCTGTTACCGTGACATAATACTGCTCTGGGTTTCACTTGTCACTATTGTACGGTTCATGGCTTACACTTTCGCTAATGATGCACCGCTTGTAAATTGTTTACGCTAATTCATATGTATATTTAAGTCACAATATTAATAAATATTCAAATATGTTCAGCTTTCGATCCAATTACAGAAGGAATCAAAATGTATGCCCAAGGGTACGGTATAAGCATACCTACGGTAAAGATAGGCGTAAAATAAAATATATAGGGTGTAGGGACCACGTACAACAGAATCGGTGAATGAACGTTCTTGCATCAAACAACCATAACTAAATAAATATGGAGGCAAAAGCAACATGAGAGTAAACCCGTCACGTATACGAAGCAGTGAAGAGTTGATAAAGATTCTTTGCCCGAGCAAAGAAATGAGCATCTATTAAAGAATTCTTCTCCTACGGTAGTCAGCTTGGGACCGCACCTTACGGTGAGTTTGCTGGGAGCTTTTGCTCATCGTACTTGATAGGGAATAATAGCTAAGCTGCAGATGGTCACTCAGAAACGGAAGTGGCTTCATTTTTAAAGTTCTGGCGGGTTTTCATTGGTGAAAACCGAATTTCCGACAGAGACAGGCGAGGATCTTGTGATACAGTAATCACACCGGGTGCAATAGAGAGCAGACAAAACGATCAGGAAAAACGCGCTGCCTATGCTGGAACTGAAATAGATGAAGGTAAAGTAGTTGGGTTCATGAGAAGGGGGTACGCTTCGTTGAGCGCGTTCGTCGAAGCTAGGTCATGCCGCAGCCGTCGCACGCGGCGAGTCAGCTCGCGATACTTGACAGACGTCGCAGTTGTCAGTGGGGCATACGTTTAGCGCTTGGTCCACGGCAGACAGTTAAAAGAGAAGATATCACAGACAAATGCAAATCATTGACTCCTCTGACACTTGGTGGCACTGTAATGATCTCGAGACCTCAGTGTGGTGCGCCGGACGAAATGTGCGGGGTGACCTACTTTCGACGGACGCGCGCAATGGACGTTCTTCCATGAGAAAGTCTCGAGCGGAAGTCATGCATTCCAGTTAAGACCCATACCTTGGGTCACTGTACCATTACATTTACCGCCCTCAAAATATGACCGGTTGATTCTTGCGTATGAAGAACTTTCAGGCAATGTGACTTGATTTTTGCCGGCTCTTTCTTTTGTAGCGTTCCTCTGATGGACAACTGCCCAGTACATTTTCATTTCATTCGATTCTTACACCACTCTTTTTGCAAGCCGGATCCCTAGATCCTAACAACTTTTCTCAGTCTGGAACCAAATGACTGAGTTCTCCTTTTCCTTGTGTCACGCTCACCCACACCCTCTTTTCAGACTGCTTCCCGCATGGTGCTTGGCCAGAATCTCCTCGAACAGCCTTCCGTCTGGGGTAACGCATTGAAAATACCTTGAAATCCAACTAGATCCATGTATACATGTGGGCAGTGGTTCGCCGCTTTATCAAAAAGAACTCTATCAGGCCAGCTTTCCATGACGAATTTCCATTTCTTCCCCTTCGTTCGATATCTGGTGAAGACGATCATCTAGAATAGATAACGTTCTCGAATGGTGTGACGCCATACCACGGTAAGGGGGTCTTATTTCGATAATGGATTGAAATAAGGCTTAAAAGCTCATCAACGATCAATAGGAACACATACCATTTTATAGAGACCACCACCAAAATCGAATCGCTCGGTACTCTAAAATCACCTGCATTACATTTTTGTTACTTTTTTTCCAAAAATCCGAACTGAACATCAAATTATTTTGACGAGCAACCTATGCTCGTTCATTCTTGAGTTGCCAGGATATATTGACGGTTGCATCGCAACCGCTTCATTCGGCCGCGACCACCTGCTATTCCTTATTGGAATAAGTACCGGTAACTTTATATTTCATATATTTTGTATGCTTAAATTTTATCAGTATGGGTACTCGACATATGGTGGGAGTCATACTTTTGAAAAATGACGATGAGATAAGCTACTTTCATTCCAGGTATGACACCCCTTTCTCCTATATAAAGCCATTAGCTAAGATTTCAATGGGCCTGGAACTCCACAGATGAAGTGAATTAATGAGGCAAAAGTAGCTCAGACATTTGTCTCAATCTCACCGAATTCAACTATAAAGTAAAGGGTTGGTGCTCGGCAAGATAACTTGCACAGTCAGGGCCTCAGATTCAGAACTTACGGCTTTCGCTGGAAAAGCTTTTCCCAGAGAGCTCGAGAAAGAGCCCAGGATCACAAGTGAGGAGAGTTCATTCCAAGGGAGACCTAGGCGCTCCCTGCCTTCACATGACGACAACGGAGCAACAAAGCAACGGCATCGTTTCCCTGAAGGTGGAGTACGAGTGGACACAGGAAGGCAGACAGACGAACAAGCAGGATCTCGGATGTATTCATAGAACTCTGCTGTACTAAGTAATTTCCCCGGCCGGGATTATTTTTTCATTGCTGTCGTAATCCATGGTACGGTGACGGGGGTAACCCTGAAAAGCTAGGTAAGCGCAGTTTTTTTTGAGTTATCTTAGAAATTCCCATCAACCTGAAGCAGTCAAGAATAGTTCACGGCAGCGGTAAAGGCCGTCTTGAAGAATGGTAAGTTCTGATTCCATTTAGACTGAGTTTTTCCTTATAATTTTTCGTATTGACAATAAAAATAGCATTGAAAATCAATCAAAATCGATTTTCTGGTGCAGTACAAAAGGTTTCAGGCATTTAATCCGAAATTGATTAGGTCCACAAGGGATTTTGGCTAAAACATGATGTGTACCTGCGTAAACAAACAGTAATCATTGCAATTTCTGTCCATTCGCTTTCTCCCGACATTATTTGGTAACTAATATGAAAATAGTTTGATCCTTTTACATATATCATCGGACATCCCATTGATAATCGATTTCCTCGAGCGGGCGCCAATGACATCTCCATTCGTCCCTGTCGCGAGTCAGAGTAGTCCAGGGAGTCGTCCTCGTCCTTCAGGGACAAGAGACCCAACATTCCTTTCTTTCAGAGCTTTTGTGAATAAGTCAGACCTTTGCGCTGGGGAACGTCCCACTGTTCGTTTGACGTCCCAACGGACCCAGTCAGTAACCGCCCTGATCCGGCGGTCTACACGATGCCACATAATGCGTTCGGCCCTGCTGATGACAACTTTATGTGAACTAAACTATGTATTGGGCAATGATCAGTCCTTTCACGGATGTGCCAGGCATTCCAATCGTATTCATAATCGTGGGAGCGGCTGTTCTCGCCTCGCTTTTGCGTGTACAATACAGTGTTGGGAAAATACGTATGCGCTGGGAATTCCACAGCAGAACAGTTTTTCTTTAACGTCCTGAAAATTTCCATGGAAAAGGAATCTAATAGTTAAGAATTGCTGGAGAACCCTTCTTCCCACAGGGGAAGCAGCCTTTTTGTATGCACAAGAAAGGTCTCATTATAATCCCACTGAAGCACCTTTATGCCACCTTCTGCTTCTTTTCCTGCTTTCTTTCTCCGCAATCCATGTCCACTAGTCAGCCATGTTTTCCCCCTTATCAGCCTGAGCTTCATCTTCAGGTTTTCTCCTTTCCTTCATTTTTCTTTTTTTCTTTTTTTAGTTGATGCCAGGGGCATTCAAGCTCTCCGTCCTTCCGTGGTGGACTGATTAGTACCAGACTTGGTACGGAAGATGAAAGCCCTGACTTGTACATGGGCCAGCCACCGGAATTCCTTGTATAGACCAGATACGCATCAGAATCGCTTCTACGTTCCTGACTAGAAGACGAATTAGACGGCGCATCTCGAGAAAGGGATCAATTGACGCCAAAAACTTTATCTTCTCTCGTTTTTCTCAAGATCTATGACCGAATACATTCAAATTTGTGCTTGGATATGCCCTTCTGGTTGCCCAACGTCAGAAAATTTATAATATCTCCATAAATACGGATTGGTGAAATTTCTGAATTTTTGGTGAATATTCTAATGAACTTTCTATTGTAGAAAGCGTAACATTGTTTCCAAGGGTTCATTGGCTTCCATTTCTTCACACCGCCCCCCCCCCCCCCCCCCCCCCCCCCC